AAAAAAAAAAAAAAAAAAAAAAAAAAAAAAAAAAAAAAAAAAAAAAAAAAAAAAACAATGAAATGGCAAAGTAAAGAAGGACAAGGAGTGGTGTATTTCAGTCTACAGATGAAAAACGAAAGCCGCTTTGTTATTATTTTGACAATACGTCCAGGGTTTTTTAAAAAACATTTTTTCGTATGCACCAACGAAGAAAGATGGAACAAGATTATTAATTAAGGGAACGGATTATTTTTTGTGGTGTTTATTTTCGTGGTGGGTGGGTTTTGTCTGGTTGCACATAGAGACGCCCAACAGTCGTTAACGTCCGTCGTCACTTCAATGTTAAAGCTGGTCTTCAGACAAACAACATTTAACCCTGAAATAACACTCTATAGCTAGCATTATCTCAGCTGACGAATAACACACTCTTCGACACGTCTACAAAAGGGCGGGGCGTTATTGACCTTTACAGAAGCTCCAGTATTACGTTACATCACGCTCTCTCTTTAGACACGAAAGACAAGTCCAAAACATGGGTGCAACTTGTTCAAAATGCTGCCTGTGTTACTGCCTCAAATTGTGCGAATGCGGTGAGAAATTTCGTTGCGGCCATCCGTGCTGTATACAGTACTGCGAGCCTTGTTGCCACTGCGGTGACTGTTGTGATATCGAAGATAATTTTCCGTTTGTGGAAGAGAACGAAGCTTCGAGAGACGGCGAGGATGCTTTTGTTTATCCAAGCGGTGATAGGTACATCGGTACATGGCATAACAACAAAAAACATGGATATGGAGAACTTGTACGCAAGGATGGAACCAGGTAAAATTAAGAACAAGCATTTTTCTTGTTTTAGCAGGAGTATGAAGTTCCTTCCTTTCTGAAAAAGAGCGGAAAATAGCCAAAAGCCCTGAAGTGTTTGATGTCACGCAAACATGCTGTCAAAGTTACCTCTGCTGGTAATCGCAAAATGTTAGGGAATCTCGCTTAAGATAAAAGTATGAATATCTTTGCTGATTGGACGACTTTGTAGTAAAAGAGGTGAAAGGGGATTCCATATTTTTAGGAATGAAATTTATCAATCTGATAAAAAAAACAAAAACAAAAACAAAAACAAAGAATTGGAGATTGGATACTAGTGGAGCGTCCGACGTGAGAACGAGGTTGTTCCTAGTTTCTTGCAGAAAAGCAAGAAAATTATCCGTCGCGGTTCACGTTCTCCACACAACGCAGAATCTGGTCATTTGTTGGTTATCTGGTTCACGCTGTTGTTATACAGAGGACGGCAAAGAAATGTACCAAGAATTATTATGCACGTGCGCAGCCATTGTCCTGCTCATTCCCTTTGCAGTTGCCGTTGTGGTTTTCTTAAACGTCTTACTTTACCTCTTTACCTCTAAATGGTGTATTACCCGGTATTTTTTTTGGACAGATTAAAGGGATATTTTGTTGAAGATCAATTTGTTGGTGAGACGCCTCTGGCCAATTTGGCTGCCGCTGAGGCGTCAAGTGAAGAAGATCAATCAAGCAAGTAAGTATAGAATAAAGCATCAAAATATCTCCCGAGGTTCAATTAATCAATCAATCAATAAACTTTATTTCAGAGTCTAAAACTCCTAGTCAGCCCGAAAGCCAACTAATCGGGGACGCTCCCAATAAAATTCCTCCTTGCAGAAGTCCATTACTCCTGCTTTGTGCATTTGTTGATCATTTAGGCGAATATTTAAACCTTATCGAGTATTTAAGATTTGTAGTTTTGATATACTGAACTTCCTTAAGTCGCCTGAATTTGCCGTCAGCTTCTAAATGACTGTATGTGATGAACTTATTATGAAACAGTCAGAGCATTCTGAAATTTTAAGCCCGTTGAAGCAAAACCGGTCTTAAGTTTAGAAATTATTTTTCGTTTTCTTCCCTTTCTTTCTTGCAGGCCTACAAAACAAACAGAACCGACTATCTCTTACCGTAAACTTCCACCGGGAAAGTCGCCAGATGACAAGGAGGAACTTCTTTTGGACACGTGATTCAGAAGCGCACGTGACTTAGTCACGTGGCTTGGCTTAGCCGCTATGTGGGCACACACGATCGAACCTTGCGTGACCTTTTTTTCGATAATATATTTTTTTATAAGAATATTGAATCTGCGATTCACGAATGCAAGGCCGAGATTAAGTTCAAAAGATTAAAAAACCGTACATTTGCATTTTGATAGAAATAAAACATGATAAAATAACACAGTGTTTTTAAAAGAATTAAATGCACAAGCGTTCCCTCTCTGTATACGGACCGCGCGAAAATTGGGGCGAGGGCACAAACAAAACAGAGAGAAAGGAGATGAGAGAGTTTTTGTCTCAATTTTTGTGTACCCAAAATGTGGGAACACTTACTACGAGGTCTAGGAGCGAGGGGAAGGGGGGGGGGAAGTGTGTTCACATCCAGGAGCTTTATATTAACAGAAGTAGTTTCCGTTACCAGACCTGATGCTGGAGCCTAGCCCTATAAACAAGGGTGGGTGTGGGAATTATAAATAGGAAGACGTAATTTCTATCACCAATATGATGAAATATACCCGGGGAAGGGGAGTGCTCATCTAAGGCTTCATCGGAGATCTTCACTGATGGTGAGGCTGGCTGGCATGGTGAGGTTAATTAATTTGCAAACATTTGCAATTGTTACTAAAATGCCGTGACACGTGTGAGTTATTGACCAAGTGCGAGGTCCATTGGCTGAGTTATTTTTTCTGCGTGTTTATGGACTGAGGCGCAGTCGAGTTTCATAAGCCGAACGAGCTTGGTCAATAAAGGATTTATTATATGGCATAAACAACACCATTTTCTTGCGGGAAAAAGCCGAGAATGCCCGCTCGGGTAGCCAATCACAAAAAAGTACAGCGCGGTATTGGGTTCATCTTGCCCGCTCGCGGATTTAGCTGTAATAAGACTTATTAAAAACTGGATCATTGGATAATGCAATTGAAGAGTTCTCATTGGCTTAGCCATCACGGTTTATGAGCCATTATACCATGCCCTACAAATATGGTAAGCGTACGCACTATATACACATATAGGGGGCTTTTTTGTCGGTAAAACAATCATTCCACTTGCGCTTTTTGGATATATGAACAATAGCCTCCATTTGGCGCGGAAATATGCTCGGATATTTGTCCGTGGACATTATCTGTTCCGAGAAGCGAACAGTTTTGCGAGAGCGTAGCTGTAGGAAAACTGTGAGCATCCGAGCATCTTTTTGCGCCAAACGGAGACTATTGTGTTTATTATTCTTCAAATATATTTCGCAACACGTGCGGTTTTGAAAATTGGGAAATATTCTCGGATATTCCCCAGTTTTAGCTGGGTAATATTCGATTACGTGACGCGTTTAGACCAATCGCGCGCGAGCGAAAATATTTGATGGATTATAACACTCAAATATTCCCCAGTTTTAGCTGGGGAATTAAGTCACGAAACGCGTCTAAACCAATCACGCTCGAGCGAAAATATTTGGTGGAAATGATTATAGCCGACTCGGCCCTACGTGCCTCGTTAGCTATCTACCACCTCATATCCAGCGCGCCCTCGTGGAATAGTTGTTCAGATTAAAAGCCTCGGTCTCCACCGAAATTTTGTCCCATATGTGAACACGAAAATAACGAATTAATGTGATCAGTGATACTGTCAAATTTCCAGTCAGCCTTCCACACACTGAAAATTGCATCCAGTACATTAAATTGTATTCTTTACCTTTGAAATTCGACGGTTTTTGGGAGAAAAAAAAGTTATGTTCATGATCATTACCATCTCAAAGACACCGGCGCCACCATTCTAGCTTCCAACAATTTCAAACTGACTGCTTAGCAACTTTCTAATTGCAATATGCAAATTACTTAGCGAGAACTTTCTACAGCAAGGTGATTTTTGAATAAATGTGCAAGAGCACATGGTCAGTTTCCATGACAAGGACTTTTGAAAATCTGACGAATTTTAGAAAAGTTTGCCATTGTCTAGTCAGATATCTGAAAACCATATTTTAAATGTCTATTTCTTCAGTTTTAAAAGGACTAAAAGGGATAGTCTATAAGTAGGTGCTGAGGAAGATAATCATTTTATCACCTTTCCCGCCATATTTACCTGCCAACATGCCCATATTTGGGAAACAATAAAGTTCGGCTTGCATCGGCAAGGTTCGTTGCAATATTTACGGTTTTCGGCATCAATCGTCAGACGATCGGAGGGCCGAAGTGACCTACCTTCGTGGTGTGAGTGTTTTATTAAGGTGCTGTTGGGAAACGTTTTTTCTTCCCAGCGTTCAACACTTGGAACCCGGCGTGCATTGCGTTTACCTAAAGTTCAGGTATTTGTAGTTTTCTGTGGGAATCAGAGAATGGATATGGTGACTGTTTCTAGCTCTGTAATGCCTTTACAATCGAAAAATTCCGAGCGCTTGTTCTTCTCAACGGCGTTGAAGCGAACAACAATGGCGGACACGGGTTCTTTTACTTGTGATTTCGTTCGAAGACGGCGCCCTTTCGCCCGAAGCGCGGCTAAAACCGTAAAGGATTCGAATATCTGTTGATCGTCGCTTGATGGGTCGGAAGGGTCGCTTTCATTTGCTTTAGTTGTTTTAGGCAGGAGTCTGTAGAAGAGCGTTTCGAAATTGCTGAATTGACAATGAAGAATTGTGCGATCTGTGAAGAACGCTGCCATGTTTTTTTCAGGGTATTGAGCTCTTCTTTGTACTTCGTGGCTTATTCAAAACACAACCGTCTAAAAAGTTGCAATGGTTCGTGACTCCAAGTCAGTGAAGTGAAAACAGTAATAAATCGTTTTCCCTGTGCCAAATGAGTTAGATCAAGTGTGTTATGTTGTGTATTTTTGACGAGGAAAAACCAAACCAGTATGACAGACCGGCGTTTTGATGAGCTACTGTTACTTTTGTGTTACAGTATCTTTGAAGTCAAATTAGATATTTAAAACAATGCTTGAAATATTTCTTGCTTTAATATTACAGAACTTTTTGGACTTGACTTTCAGATATAATCTTGAAACAAAGAAATTATATGGTCATAAATTTCTAATAAATAATATTGCCTTTGGCAAAGTCAATTTAGTCTTATCAGTGAGCCTACAAGAAGCTGAAAAAGAAGCGAGATTGCTAGTTGTGTATTTTGTCTTAATTATGAACTTAACCGTCACCCATATAAACTTACTAAATTGTAAAGTAAAATTGAGCAAATATGTTTTTTGGACATCACATGGAAGATAATATCAAAACTATCATAGAATTAATTTCCCTAAATGGTGGAAACTTACAAATATTTTGATATTATAAATTAAGTCCAGGTGAGGGTGTCCAGTTTGTAAATTTGACAAATTTCTTTCTGTTTCATTAGTGATGAAACATGAACCAGGCGTAGTGAAAACGAGGTTCAAGTTATTTTTCTCCAGTCAGTCGCACTGATTTTTTTGCCCTGATCATGTGCCTTGCTCATAAACCTTTCGCTGCCATCTTTGGGTTGTCAAATCCTCCCCACTAAGAGCCACTAAAGGTGAACAACAAAATTTTTCGAGACTAGTTTGTCACCTATCATAGCCAAGGTTAAATGAAACTATTAGGTTGAATATAGAGGGTTGCTTGCATTTGGTAATATAACTCTTCGGTGCAGTAATTATATGTGACCTTATTCTCCCCACCTTTGCACAAAATCGAGGATATCTTGGATGTGAATTTTTGTTTTTAGCTGGCATTGGCTTTATGAGTTTCTAAAGTCATTGACATTATTATTTTCTGTTACCTAACAAAGTCCTGAGCATACATTTTTAGAGCATTCTGCAAAATTAATTGCAATGTATTCACTCCTCTACTTACAAGTTGGTAATGTTGAACTTTTTTTCTGTTCCAAGTTTCCATCGATCTACCTTGGACCCTTAAACTACTACATCTGAAATATTTGACAATAAGCCATGGACACAGATCTGGATGGAATGATTAAAGATGAAAAGGAGGTCCATTTGGAAGGTGAAACAATAACTTTATTAATTGAGCTTTTTCACATCTGATGACTCATCTTTTGGTGGTGATCCTTTTTTCCTAGCTTTGAGCTTGTGAATACAATCCATCTGTTTTTGTAGGCCACAGGGCCTCAAGCTGGTGACTGTCGTTTATCTAAAAAAGAAGTAAAATTGTACGCCTCAAGCCTCCATGCTATGAACCCCTACATAATGTTAATTTGCATTGTAGTTATGAGGAATTTCATTTTATATATGACATTAAGATTCTCTGTTTGAAATTTTGCACAAAATTTGACAAAATTGTACTTGGGTTCTTGTGATTATAATGCCATGTTTTAAAAAAGTAGTTTGATAAAAAAAAGTAATCAAACCTGACATTTCCTCACTCAAAATGGAAATTTGGAGTCTCAAAGTCAAGTTGTAAAAGAAGGAACTTTTAACTCCTCCAAAATACACCTGAACTGCCCATGACCTAACACCCTTAGGACCTAAATGTCAACTTAGAGGAGGAGTTTAATTATGGGAACAAAAATTGTTGTGTTTTTATGTGGCTTTGAGGTCCATGTCTTTACATACATGTAAGTCATTCTGCTTGAGAAAGGTGCCCATTACAATTGTAGCTTAGCATCTACTGTAACAATGTAAACTTTATATTTAATAGCTTCCATACTTTAAATGGTTTTACAGAATTCATTTTGTAAAGAAGGTTAATAATGTAATACACTGTATATTAAAACATGTTTTTGTCTTCAGCAGAACCCAATGATATGGCACCAGTATCTGTCAGTCACATTGCCGGTCAGCCAATCAATTCCACCGAGCAGGAGGTGATTGGTCTGTTGTTGGCACAACAGCAAGTCTTCACAAACTCTGGTAAACTGGAGCCATCCAGTGTGTATGCCAACCAGTCTTCGGTTCCTGTTGCTGTTGTCGCTGGTGATGTGTTACAACCACATGGTGCTGATGGCAAGAGCATTGTTATTGTAAGTCTTGGTTTATATGCTGTACTCAAAATTAGTTTTATTAATACTAGAAAATTCTGCTTATAAGTGGAGTCAATATGGAACATGGTTTCCCCAATCTGGGGGTCTAGGTTGATCAAGAAGGGGATAGAGATTCGTTTAAATTAATAATTTTTATTAATAATTTTAATTAATAATTTTAGTAGCTATTAAGTAGGATATGCCCACCTGGTGTATGAACTGGATCTACATGGCACTTAAAACACAAATATTGTAAAAGATATGCTAATTTCCCCTTGAATACAGACATTTCCCACTGTCTAACACTTTTACAAGGGCTTTATGATCAGAATAAATTTTACAGGGTTAAAGTGTAACTAAATGGGTGTTGTCGCAGCTCTCGTAAGGTCTCACATGAATGGCTTGCTACCCTTTGAGAGAACAAAAGAACAAACAACAGAAACAATGCCCCTAGCCCAAAAACAATAATAGCTGCTAACAATGAAGAGAATTACACGCTTATGAGAGCTGCTACACTTCTGAATTAAATTTAGGCACATTGACCCCCCCCCCCCCACTCAGAGAAAATGGATCAAAGTGAAAGTGTAATAAAACTAGGTACATGTACTATGAAAGAATGTACTATCCAATTAGCAACAAAAATATATAATTAACCGTTCTCCAGCCTGTGGTATGGTGCCTGAGGCATGTGGTATACAGCTGTACACGTACTAGATAAATTGGTTATTGCTGTCCTTGAGAGATTGAACACTTTTAGGAATGGGGCTTTGAGCACAGCAAACAGTGTCCTTGTAATTTGTGCATCCTTTTACGCAAGACACTTGCACTCATAATTCCCGCTGCTTACTTCTTTGCCCGGCTGTATAAATGAGTACGTTGGCTAAGAATTGTTTTGCAAGGGGGATGGGATTTACACAGGTGACCTGTAGCTGGATTGCCAGTTGTATCTTAGCTAGTGTGAGTTATTAGTACATGAACATGTAGCAGTGACTCCTGAGGGTCACTTCACGATGAGATGTCAGTAGTTTGTAATGCAAGATTCCTCTGCTATTTTGCAGAGTGATGACAGCCATGTTGACGTCAAAGATGATTCGATTTTAGTAGCTCAACAAGGAGAACAAGATGCTGCTACTGCAACCATCATGGCCACGGTGGAACAGCAAGAAGGTAAATATTTAATTGTAGACTAGAGTACTTATTATCACAAAGTCTTGTCATTCTTTGAAGGATGGAATTTGAATTTTGAAGTATAATTTTCAAGATTTACTTGATCTTGCAAATGGAAGAGGGGGAGGGAGGGGTGAAGAAAAAAAATTGAATGGGATTCAAACCCATGACCCTTGTACTCTGTGTATATATCTGTGATGATCATTGATGTCTTCATATCTTTCTTCGCAGTTCAAATACATGATCATTCATATATTCACTTGCATTCTTGACTATCTACGTGACGGTGTATTATGAACTTACAACATGACCAGCTCCCCGTTGGTTTGATCGCTCAGTTGGTAGAGCACTGCACCAGTATCGCAGAGGTCATCAGTTCTAATCCTGTTCAGGCCTGAATTTTTTTTCAGGCTTTAATTTCACACTGAGCTACTTAAGTATGGAACTGTCATGATCGCTGATTCCTTCATATCTTTCTCCGCAGTTCAAATACCCTATGATCTCTCTTATATATTCAGTTATATAGATACAAACAGTGTCTGTATATCTATATATCAGTATCTATCTCACTTCCTCCACATCTGTGTAACCCACTCTTTGACTGTTTTTCAAGGTAATGAAGCCTTTCAACCTGTGCAGACAAGCTTGGCACCAGGTGATCTTGTTCAGTCAGCTGTAGTGGTGAGTTCAACACCGGGTGGAACTGTGTTTCTTGAGCCACAGGCCGTGACCCTGACAGAACTACCTGGTGGCACTGTGCAGACTCTCCCTGCTGGAAGCACATTTGAAGGTACTGTGACTTCAGTTAACTCTCAGTACTCTAGGTAGTAAAATTATAAAATGCTGCTTCTAATCCCAAGTTTGAGTGGGCTTTACTCTGCCTAGTTCAATTACAATATGTAAACTCCAAGCTCAATCAATTTTTTTGGTGTTTCAATGCCATCAACCATCCAACAGACCTCTCAGGATTCAGAGGTTTGCTTCAGGTTCAAAAGGTCGATTCTGTTGATTGTGATCTTCCTTTCAAGATGCAAATGGTTGTTGTGGTAATTATGATTGCCAGCAGCCAAAAACGTTGAACTTCAAAGGTCATGTGTCATTGAAAGATGCGGCAATGTGACTGGGGGAGGTTATATATTCAATGAATGGTACAAGCACTTTAAAAGTGAAATATATATATAAAAAAATGTTTTGGATATACATGTAACCTGATAAGAAATGACTAAAGTTTATGTGTGATATTGTGTAAGAAAACCAGTCTGATTAAACTGGCAGCACTCTTGACGTAAATTTATTGATATCCTGTCAAGAATTAATTGAAGTACAATGTTCCATGAGGATGCGAACAAGTTAATATAAAGGAAAAGTTGGATGGGCAGGGCTTATAACTGGAATCTAACTGGGGCACTTAAAGGATTTGAGTGGAATTTTTAGAGTTTATTAAGAAAATATCACTTCTGAGTCATATCAAGCTGAAAATTTATGGTACAAAATGCACAGCTAATTTGTGACCAATTTTGGGTTTATTTGTTTGGTTTTTTTTTCACCTCATGTTCAACAAGACAAATGCTGACAGTGCTCAATCTAGATGGTTTATTACAATTATCCACTTGGCTATCTTTAAACAACATTTCTGCTGTCACATTTTGGTCAACCTAACTACATGCACATGGAGTTTATTTTTGACTTGGAAATTACAATTATAATTTGTTATTTTTACTTTCTGTATCAGCAACCTATGTCCACCAGAGCAGTGATGGTACTAGTTTTGTCATCACCTCTGAACCCACTTCTTTTGATACCAACTCATCTGTTTCCATGACAACAATATCTGAGTCTAACCCATCCATGGTGAGCACCAGCGAGACAGTGGACACGACAGGAATTCCTCTGGAGCAGTTTACCACTCATCACACTCATCAGGTTGATCATGAGGATCACTCAACGCTGTTTGTGCTCCAGGACGATTCTGGTGGACAAGACCAGGAGGTATGGATGGGATGTGAACCCTTAAACCTGAGATCAAGTCTTTCCACTAGAAAACCCTGGAAAGGATTTCTCCCTGGGAAAAAATGCCAGTGTCTTTCAAACAAGCCAAAAAATGCTTCTATTGATCACTGCAAAATTGCTGGTATGGCTTCCAGAGTCTGAGAGAAACTAAATTTTTGATGTTGGTTTGTATTTTGGTTGCTGGTTCTTGCCCTTGATTTGAAAGTTTTTGTCTGAGCTTCCTGGTTTTCCTCTTTGCAAAAAAGAAAATCCAAACACTTCAAAATTCTAATTCAGTCGGAAACAGTGGGCCAATAGCCACCCTGTGAATGTGCCATAACTAATTTTTAGGTAGTCGATTTTAATTTCATTGGTTAAATATAATTTTATTATAATTTAAATAGGGGATTTAATTACAATATATCAAATTTAAGTCATAAATCAATCATAAAGAGCGTTTTCACTTACGCGTCAGCAGCCATACAAATTTATTGGAACAAAAGAAAGTGTTAACGTAAGAAAAGAGTTCAGCTCTTACAGGATTGGTTGGGTACACCAACAAGGCCTCCATTTCATTGTTTTGGAACACCAATATGGCTGCCATGACGTCACATGAAAACGCTCTATATGTATGTGACTTTGAAACTGCTTTTAGTCAATAGTATCTTACTACAATGTACACAAAAAGGGAACAAGCATTATTGTTTGAAGTTACATTTTCTCAATTTGGCTTAACCAGGGCTCAGCTAAGAAGATTTACCATTGTGGCATAGACGGATGTGGAAAACAGTTCTCTACCTCGTACCGGCTGAAGGCGCATGGACGAAGCCACACGGGAGACACATTCAGGTGTGAAGAGGAAGGTTGTGAGAAGGCGTTCATTACTCAGAGCGACTTGACAAAGCACGTGAGAACTCATTCTGGGGAGAAGCCGTACAGATGTGATCATGACGGGTGTGGAAAAGTGTACACTACAGCGCATCATCTAAAGGTTTGTTTCAATTCAAATTTACATTTTGTACCAACAACACTACGCTGGCGGAGTTTGAAAACGGAGGTTTCACTCTGAAAACTCATGAAACGTTTTCCGTCCACACTACGCTGGAGGAATTTAAGAACGCAACAATCGCCGGTCATTTTGGATTTGTGTTTGAGGAAAACTCGGTCAGGGAAATCACGTGTTTATCGTGACGCTATCGTTTACTAAGAGCTCTGTTTTCAAAATGTTTTCCGTCCACACGAAAACGAAAAGTCAGCGTTTACATATTCTTCCGGTTTGAAGAGCGTTTTCGAAAGGTCTTTTTCGCGACGGATTAGTGTGGATGGCAGACCTAACCGGAGAAATAAAGCTGTGTTTTCAAATTTCTCCGGTGTAGTGTGGAGGCTGCCTCAGTGTCTTCTGTTTTAAGCATTGTTTTGTGGTGTTCACAAAGACAGCTTCATCAACTATGCCTTCGTCAAAGAGGTCTTGAACCAACGCGAGGCTATAAATGGTATGGTACAAAATTCTTCCCAAGACGTGAAATTCCTTGTTAATAAGAAACGGGTTTCCGTCGTTTAGTTGGAG